AATGGTTTTTGCTTGTATTTTTATTTTGTCCATTAAAAAGAAAACTCATAATGAAGAGATAGAGATTTAGAGCCTTCATTGCAGCTGAAACTCGCCTGTCTTGTTCTCTTCCTTTTCAGACCATGCCAGAAGACAGAGCAACATGACCCTCCCTCCGTTAGGCAGACCAGAAATGGACCTCCCTTGCAGAGCAAGAGGGATGGAGCCATGCTGCTGCTGCTGCTGTTAGAAACCGAACAGAGAGGGGAGCAGGGGACCAAAAAAGATGAAGCCGTAATTTACACACAGGTCTTCAGGGTAAGTTATCCCTCCCTCCATGTCGGGGGTTTATTTATAATGTGGGGCTGACTTGCTCCCCAAGAAGGATTGGAAGGGCCCTGGCTGGAGAAAGAGTCCAAGAAACTCGACATGAGCAGGTTCTGAAAAGTAATTTAGGAGTCGAGTGTAAATAAATAGCTCAGTGGAAAGATTTTCCTCCTCAAGTGTTTAAAAAAGAAAGGATGATGGGAGGCCGTTATTTTAACTTTTCTTTAAAAGAAAAAAACCCTGTCCAAGTTAGTTTTTAAGTGAAACAAAGCTTAATTGCTTTTAATTATTTTGGAGACAGGAAGCACAGAGGGGAGAAAGCAGGGAGGGATTCATGGTCACGTGCTGAAGCCCTAAGCCTTGAGTGTGCCAGCTTGATTACGAAGAGCTTCTCCATTTCCCCGCAGTCCCCACGGCTTTGAAGCTAACCTTCAGTCACTAGGGTAGGGCTGACGGGTACACTGAGACCCAAGCAGGGCGTTTGCCATATATTGTGCGCCTGCCCCGCTCCCCCACCCCCACTCTTCAAAGTCCAAGTTTGGGATCCCTCCATCTAGCTTATCCGCAAATAGGTCATTCAAATCATAGTCTCCGAGAAAGAAAAAAAAACTGTGTATAGAGCTGTTAGTATGTGCGGGATGCTGCCCTAATGCCCATCAAAATATATACTTTTCAGGGGAAAAAAAGAAAAGTAAGCAGTTAACACTAGGGGGGAAACACGTGTGTAAAGATGCCACACAAACAGCGCACTATTGTTTCAGAACACCCCATTTTTTTGGTCTGTACCATCAGAAGGAATCCAGGGTCTGCACACCCAGACAGAGGCCTTGCCGCCCTAGGTGGCATGAGGTCTGGCTGCTCTCCACGCATGCAGCTTACACAGAAATAGCCTTCAAAACTCACTGTGACCTACCATAGGCCTGGATTTGGAACTTTCCAGTAATGCCCGAAATAATTTGACCTGAGACACACTGGGTGACCACCACCCTCCCCCACTCTGTGGCAGGCTGTCTGGAAGCCGGCTGACCACCCAGAAGAGGGAGGGGAGGTGGGAGGAATCAATGAAAGAAGGCACGGAGAATAAGGGAGGTGGAGGGCGGACTGAACTTTCAGAAGCCTAACTGACTTTGAGAACCATGATGTCCTCTTGAGAGACAGCTACCCCATCACTGAAGGTATGTTCTTGTCCCCAAAGTGCCCATGGATTTGACCATGCCTCTAGAGTTACCTACCCAAACATGGGGGACTGAGGGATGAGAGGTTAGGCTCAATGCTAAGCAAGGTTTGGGGGGCACACATCTGAACCCTAGAAACCCTGAGACTTGGGTATGTTCACTTGAGTAGGAGCAGCATGTCTGCTTCCATGGGTTCCCGGCATGCCTTGAAACCAAACCTCGATCAATAGGGTAAGAGAAAACAGTCAAACCAAAGCCCGAGCAAGGCGTTTCAAAGGCCGCACAGGTGCCCTTGGAGAAGACCAGGCTGACAAGGTCTACAGGACCCGCTGCCAGGTCTCATCAACAGAGAGGCTGCACTGAAAAAAGAAAAAGAAGACATGGGAGAGGAACATGTCGATATAAAGAAAAAAGAAAAAGATCTGCTCCCCCACCCCCCGTGTTTGAATCCTGATTTAAATGAACCCCGGAAGAGACAGACAGGAAGTCAGAGACAGAGAGGAAAGGAGTAAGAGTGTTTATAGTTTTATGGAATATATTTCAAACACAGCCACCCTCCTGGGATGAGCTGGGTGCTGCCGGATCACTCTAAGCTGTACCACTGGCATTTTAAATACCAGCAAGACCAGCCATCAGTGGTCAGTGGTCCCAGACTAAGCCAGACCAAGGAGAAAAGTCTGGTGATCTATTTCCAAAAATTGGCCAATGAAAACCTTGTGATTCACAATGGCACACTCTCCAACTGGCTTGCTTGGGACCCATCATCCACCGCACCCACCCTGCTGCTGCCAATGAGTCCACCACAACTCACAGACACCTCACATGGCAGAGTCAAAATCCTCTTTAGAGTTTCCAAGGCAGTAGATCTTTATGGGAGGAGACAACCTCATGTCCCTCCCTGGGAGTGATAGGTGGGATCAAACCGCCAACCTTGTAGCTAGCAGCTCCTTGGACCCATCATCAGGAGGGCCCAAGCACTATTGGAGGGCATAGTGTTTGGTGAAGCAGAGGACCAACAATGAGGGCAGAGGAGTCCCTTGCTGGGCTGTGTTGGCTCAGGAGCTGCCATGGTGGTGAGTGACTGTGAGGATGATGCTGGACCGCAACACTTCATTCTGCTGTGCCCAAGGTCACGAGAGGTGGAGCAGAGGGCAGCCAGCAAGGATGACACACTCGACAGGCATGCGGGGTACTCAGCCATTGAAAAGCAACACAGAAGTTCACATTGCAAGCTGCCTAGTAGAAGGTGGGGACAACTAAAAGAATCAGTGCTAGAGTTTCAGACAGGCCTGGGTTCAAATCCAGGACCCCTCGTTTGCTGCTTTAGTAAAGTGACTGAGCCTCTCATGGCTGCGGGCTTTCGGGTTGTAAAATGAAGGTGGTACGTAATGTTTCTCACAGAGAACACACATCTCCCATGGTCCTTTGTCAACCGCTCCCTCCCTCCCTCAGGGGAACTATTTTCCTGAGTGCTGGTATGGCGATTCTTCTACACGTTTCTGTGAAAACACTCAAAAGCATTCCTAGTGCTTTTACAAAAGTGCTTCCTTATCAGAGGGCACAGTCGGCAAGTCAATGTAAAGAGTGCGTATTCACCGCATAGAAATACGGCACACTCACCACTGAGAGATTCGTGAGTGGCCTACTTGTTGGACAGTTCAAATCCACCAGCTGCTCCTTGGGAGGAAAATGAGCCTCCTCTACTCCCATAAAGAAATACAGTCTCCAAAACCCACACGGGCAGTTCTACGCTGTCCTATGGGGTGGCTGTGGGTCAGAAGGCACTTGATGGCAGTGAGTTTGGTTTGGGAAGTTTTTCCTTGGCTGTCGAAGGGACACAATAGTAGCAGCCTCCTTAAGAGACAGCTTTCAGGAGAGGCAAGCAACACGCTCGTGGTGTGTGCCCATAACAAGCTCTCCAGAAAGGAGCTGCTACTGCAGGGACTGCGTTATTGTTACTGTTCCTTCCTGAACATTCACCAAATGAATCCTTCTGTTGAGGGAGGAGTTAGAAGTTAGCAATAGAAGACTTCTTGTAGCCAATGGAGGTTGTGGCTCTTTCCCGATTAACTAGGCATCTGCAGGCCATGCCTCCCTCCTTGGCGTCTAGAAGTGGCCCTGGCTTCAGAGGAGCCCCTGACTCTGTATGAAGTAAATGACTCACTGCCATCCACTTGATGTTGACTTATGGTGACCCTACAGGACAAGGTAGAACTGCCCCTGTGGGTTTTGGAGAACATAACTCTTTATGGGAGTAGAAAGCCCTGACTTCCTCCCAAGAAGCGGCTAGTGGCTTTGAACTGCTGACTGAGAAACTGAGTCACCACCAGTGCTCCTTAAGTCTATGAGCCAGAGGATGAAGGGAGGCTGAGGGGGCCAAGAAACCAGTGCCTTGAGAGTACTCTGCTTGAAGGCCCTCACAGCTAGCTGTAAAAATCAACCCTTGGAAGCAACTTAGCATCACTGAAATATAGCTAGCTGCCGACACCACCACAGCCATTGCTTTCCTGGGCCATGGGTTTCTCAGTTACGTGGCCGACTGCATCCCTTTTCAGGAAAAACAAAAGCAGACTCAGCACCCTCTCCCTTCCCCAGCAATGACAAACTCTGGTACTAAAGCCCATCTTGGGGATAGGATAAAGTATAGGTATCTGCTTTCATAGTCGCTGCCCACCCCCACCCCCGTCATCCTGGTGCCTCCCTCCAGGGGAAGTGTCACCCACGCTGGAGGAACAGTGGGTCTGAGGAGCCTGTTCTCTCACACTTCAGGCACTGAAGGGGCCGAAAGGAATCGAAAACGTGAAGTAAATCAAAATAAGGAGTAAGTTCCTCACTTGTGTGTGTCTATGTTTCGGAGGCTGTTCTGGGACCAGGCGAAATCTTTGCTGCTGAGTGGTCTCAGCCCCCTCTGCGGCCTGGATTACCTAGGGGATGGCTTCCTGAGTGCAATCCGTCTCCTTCTCTCCCACTGTGGCAGATACTTTCCCCTCCGCATTTGCCAAAGGAAAGGAGCCCTAGTGTGTCAGGGTTACGTGTCAGGCTGCCAATCACAGAGTTGGCAGTTCAAACTCACCAGTCGCTCCGAGGGAGAAAGAGGAGGCTTTCTGTGCCATGGAGATTTGTGGTCCCCACCCCCCTCAGAGGCAGTTCTTATCTGTCCTGGCAGGTCAGGGTGCTGTGAGTCAAAGTTGACTGGACTACAATGGGCTTACTTGTTTATTTGCAAAAAGAGTGTCTGTTGTCAGGCTGCCCCTGCACTGTGGCTGCCTTTTATTGGCTGCTCTTACTGGTGCTTTTGATGTTTTGTGAGTACCCTTGTCCCCCCACCCCGCCCAGGGAAACTGTGAGGAGATGGATGACACATCACACAATAATGAGGGTGACTCGGAGTCAAGGAAACCCAGTCGCCAGTACGGAGCCTGTGTGAGTGAGCCTCTAGGTTGGACTCGGGTCACCACGGCAGTGCACAGTCCCCCCGCGAGGAGCTATGATGTACCCCGCCTGGGCGGGAGCACTCACAAGTTCTTGGCCTTGAACGCTTCGGCGAAGTGCTGCACGCTGCCCAGTGAAGCCAGGTCCAGGGTTACTGCCTCCACCTTGGCTTTGTGCTGGAATGAGAGGGAAGGGGAAGAGATGATAAATAACTGCGAGCTTAGTTCGTGGTGTCCAGTTACAGCCCGTGTGCTCTGGGACGTGGCGGAATTCCCCGGCTTCAGTTGGACGCTGGGAGAGGATATCCATCACTTGGTGGTAGGAGAGGGGGGCTTTCACTGCTAAGGGCAGGTGGGACTCAAGCCCGTTTCACCAAACAGCTGGACTGACAGGCCGGGGGCTCCTCTCGCTCAGTCCCCTGAAAATGGCAGCAACCCTCCACACAGTGCCTGGGTCCTGCGAGGGTTCTGGGGTCCACGTTATCATCTCTGAAAAGCTCACATTGGGGCAGGTGTGATTCTACCAAGCCAGTTTCAGGAATGAAAGGCAATAGACTTCTGGGAATTACAAAATCCTCATCCAGGGACCTTGGTTGGCACAGAGCCCAAAGAGAACCTTAGCTTCGTAATCTGTAAGACTTGACGGACAGGTGGACTGGTCAGGGGCAACAGCAATGACATTGAGATCAGCCACTGTGCCCTCAGAGGTGACCATGGACCTGCCGATTTATTTATTTAATCATTTTATTAGGGGCTCATACAACTCTTATCACAATCCATACATATATCAATTGTGTAAAGCACATTTGTACATTTATTGCCCTCATCATTCTCAAAATATTTGCTCTCCACTTAAGCCCCTGGCATCAGCTCCTTATTTTATCCCCTCCCTCCCCGCTACCCACTCCTTCATGAACCCTTGATAATTTATAAAATTTTTTTAGTAGTATCTTGCCCTGTCCAACATCTCCCTTCACCCACTTTTCTGTTGTCCGTCCCCCAGGGAGGACCTGCCAATTTAGATGCCCAAGTTCATCTCCACTTGACAACAGAGGAGTAGGTAGTATTTGCTCCCTTCTGCAATGTAGCACCTTGCAGAATCATAGCTCAAGGATGCAGACTTTGGGAGGAGGCAAAGCCTTAATCGGATCCAGGGAGAGAGACACCTGCCAGCAAAAGGGCTTAGTCTGCAATCCCTGGAGCATCGAGAATGGCAGCGCGAAAGTCCATAGATGGCCAACCAAGAGCAAAACTCACTGCCCTAGAGTCGGCTCTGACTCACAGCGGCCCCATAGGACAGGGTAGACCAGAGCCCGTGGATTTCCAAGGCTCTGAATCTTTACGGGAGCAGAACACTTTTATCTTTCCACCAAGCAGCAGCTGGGGGGTTTCAAACTGCTAACCTTGTGGCTGCAGCCTAAAATGTCATCCCCTGCACTATGCCACCAGGTCTCCTTAGTCCACAGAAACTAGGCAATTCCCCCACCACCACCACCACCCCCCTCCCCCACCATCCTACAGAGACAATGGAAAGTACTTTGGTGAGGTCACCTCATGTTGGATCTCAGATGAGGAGCAACGCCTCAAACCCTCTGTCATAATCACCCATCTTTACGGGCGGCTCAGATCTCTTCAGCAAGCCAGGTCTATCAGTGACTGCCTAAGCTCATGGCCGCAGATATTCTCGTGTCTCACAAGCACTTGACTTCTCCCTGCTGGCATCTGCTTGAGCCACAAGCAGGGACTCATCCTCACCTGCCTCCTCGGTGCCCTGCTCCCCTCCATCAGGGGCTGCGACTCACAGGCACACAGCACCTCACAAGAAACACACTAGAGCTTTCTTAAATGGGGCGGTGGTGGTAAAAAGATTGTTACAAGCCCCCTTGGGGACCCCCAAAGTACCTGCAGGCTCCGTGGGATAAAAACACAGACCCCTATTCCTCCTACACACAGTAAGAAGAGGGATCCCAAGGCCATGGGGACGCGGTGCTCTTCTGTGTCTGTGACTTAGGGTCGGAAAGCTGTCTTTCGGTCATCCCGCTGCACTTTCACATAAAGCTTGGAGCTGCCACAACCAATAAGGACAAAATGGGAACATATACATCCAGGGAGAACCAGGGGTCACACGCCATCAAGCAGTTCAGCAGACTAATCCACGAGCTGTGGGTTACTGGGCTCTGGGGGACGGTGATTCAAGTCCACACACCATTACTCAGTTACTTCCCCTGCCCTAGGTATCAGGTTTCCCATATCTGGTACTGCCCCTGACAA